GCCATTTTTTAGTCAATATATGAGTAAAGAAAAAAACATTAAAACTCAATATAGAAAACCATGTAAATGATATGCTTAACTCGCATAAAACATTGTAAGATCATTTAAATAAAAGATCATTAAGGGCTAAAAAGATCTATTACAAATAGAGGTGGAAATATGACAGACCAACTAACAGGGACTTAAAATCTGTCCTACACAAGCTCAGACCTGGATAGTCTTTTTTTAGGAAATTTTTATGGCACCTTATGGAGTGGAAAAACACCCTATGGAAAATCCAAAATGCCCCTCAGATTTCGGAGATGAATCTCTGGACGCATCTTATTTTTAAATTAAAATGTTAATTGATTCAGAGATGCATCTCCAAAATATTTTAAAACATACACCACTAATCCCACTCTGAAAGGTATTTTACACGTTAATTGTTCCGGAGATACATCTCCGAAATATTTTAAAACATACACCATGAATCTCACTCTAAAAGGCATTTTACATATTTATTGTTCCGGAGATACATCTTCGTTTAGGGTTTACGGATATGCATCTTTGGACCCTATCAGAATAGTGCAAATTATGTTTGTTTTATGGTTACACAGATGAAAGTGATGATTTATAAATGTTAAAAAACCTTGTTATGTGATGAGATTTAAACCATGCAATCGATATGCAAAAAAAGACATATATTAATCCAGATGGTCCAAAAATGACATATATAAATAAGGTTGAAATACACGATAAAGTAGAATAAAGTGAAAGCAACATACAATCTATAACGAATCCAATAGTACAACTATTATATACTACTGCATATGCTAGACAACAACTCCTCATGCTCATATACCCATTCACCCCTCCCCGTCCTCCGACGCTGTCTCCGGTACATCAGTGCCTCTTGTGCCTCCTTCATAATGGAATATAGGACATGCCTCACCTCAGACCCATAAGGGAAGATACCTTTGTCAATGTTTTCTTGTGCAATCTCCACTATGCGGAGGTATTTAGGCAAGACATCATGAGTATGATCTAACCGTGTCTGCTCCTCCTCTAATAACTCCTAATGAGCTGTACTCATCTGATGTACCTGTCGACGTAGCTTTAGTCGCTCTCTTTTGTGGTACTTTGTGCCTCCTTTGGTACCATATGATAAAGATAATCATCAAACATGGCATCAATCTCTCTATGTATCATAGCAGGAGGAGCAGAGCCAATAGGGTGTCTCTAAATAGTATGAGTGTAGCTAAATTGTTGCATGGCACGCTCAGGCAGACGAGAAAATATGAAACGTGAGCCGTAAGTCAACCATCCAGAGTACAACTCTACATCGTTCTCATCATCATTCTCATTATTATCATCCAGAGGTGTGTTGAAAGTGTTTTTGGTGGGTATTTGTTTTATCGTCTCCACAAGGATTATCATGATATCATCGTCGTTCTACAACTTATAAAATATTAAGTGAGGGTTTTAAAATGGTTTTGTTTGGTATCATAAATTTCACAAGATTTTTGCAGGAAAGAGTAAAGTTTGAAAGATGTTTGTTTAAAAAGACATGTTAATAATATATTTCATCAACCTACATTACATGTATTCGATTAATCAAACATGTGAACTTTGTTACAACCAATATAATCATGTATCCTATCAATATTGTTTATCTCTAAAGCCATATCGTGAATATTATCGTATTAATTACTAGATGATGTCTCATGCTAACAATCAACACAATAATCATAAAGCTTGATACAAAGTGAATATCAACTCACAAATCTATGTCTAGCGTTTCTTCATTGATAGATGAATAACTTAGGTAGAAGTTTGAAAAATACCTTTCAATAGTGATTCAAATCAAATGTATAACATTAAAAGCAAAGATATTCATCATACATTGATCATCAACTTTGTTCACATACAAAAGATTCAAGAAAATACATACAAGTTAAGGAAGATTACATATATCCTTAATACAAGGGATTTAGCTACCCATAACCATGGTAGCTTGCTTCACAAGAAATGGAAGGATATGAATGTGCATCCAAGTTGAAGAATCGACAATGGATGTGAATTCAGCTCTGATTTTATGAAGACCACCTCTTGGATAAAGAAATGAAGTTCTTAGAGTTTTTGTGTCTTAGAGAGATGTTGTAAGAAAAAGATCCCTCCAAAAAGGCAAGAAAAAGTACATAAATAACTTTTTCAATTAGTGCAGGCTCGCAGTGCGAGATCAACTTTTAGGAACTTTAAGTGTCTCTAAAACTCAAACTACCTTGAAGAAAATATCTAAACTCACTTAGCGAGCTCTAGCTCGCAGTGCGAGCACAATTAGCTGAAGCTCGCACACCGACCATGAAAAATTTTAGTTACTTCCTCTATTGTAACATGCCTCTCTTTCCCTTCGCCAGAGCTTGCATAACGACCTTGCTTTCCCATCACCAGATCCCGCACATTGAGCTTGTTGAAACATGTCTTGTTTACTTTGACTTCCTTTTTCATTCTTTTGTGTCTCTTTCTTTTATTTTTATGCCTGAGTCCTGCACACTAGCACACAAATAAGGAGATCCAAAGGCTTATGCAATTATAATGACAAACTACATAAAATTATGGAATTAATCATCTAAAACAAAAAATAAAATTTGGAAAATGCCAAGAAAAATAGTTCATTTTAAGTCATATTTGGCATTCAACAAGGTGACACTACCTCAGCAGCCTCATCAGTCCGAGGTTCCACTGGATCAGAAGCCTCATCATTCGGAGGTGCCACTGGTGCCTCAGGTACCACTGGTGACTCGCATACCTCTAGCGCCGGAATAAGTGAAACCTTTCACTTGCAGGAGGATGGAAGTAGTGATGCGTCAGTAGGTGAATCCCGCCTTCTACATTATGAAGAAGATGGAGAAGCATGATCCCCATAAGTAGATGCCTCTGCATGGCTATAGTGAACAGGAGTCTCAGAAACCTAACTTTTCTCCTTCCTCACTGATGCATGTTGTACAATACTCCTGTGTCTCAGTCTATCATCTCTATCACCCATAATGCTTGTAAGTAAACTAGAAAACTGGTAAAAACAACCATATAATCAATAAAAGCAATAAAAAAGTAATAAAAATAAATTTTTAATTTACAAAGATGCATCTCCAAGTAATGAGAATTCAAACGTTGAGAAATTCAGGAGATACATCTCTGAAATTTTCTTTAACTCTTCAGGTCCTTCAATGGCAGCAATGCAGACCACCAAACCCCAAAAGTAATGGTATGATCGTTATTTTCAACCAACAAACATGTTTTACAGTATGTATAAACTAGCATTCATGCAATTTCTACTCATTTCTTACATTAATAATCAATTTCTACTCATTTACACAAAAACATTAAAAAAAATGTCAAAACATCAAAAACTTACAAATTTAGAGTTTACTTCACACTTTGATGATGTCTCTGATGTATTTGATGTTGATTGAAGAACGTTTGAGTTTAGTTGTTTGATTTTGTAGTTAGTTGATGGAAAAACTGAGAGTTTGAGCAAAAAATGTGTTTCTTTTAGAAATGAAGAAGAAGAAGGGTTTTGGCGCGATTTAAGATCCAATATCGTCCGGAGATGTATCTCCGAAATAATTTTGAAGATGCATCTCTAGAGATTTTTAACGTTAAGTCATATTTCTATTTACTCAGGGTGCATTCAGAGATGTATTTTTGGAAACTGAGGGCAATTTTGTATTTTCACGTGGTGCCCTAGTAATATATAGGGTGCATTAAGCCATTCTCTTTTTTCAAATAGAAAAGGCCTAAGTTTTTTTATAAGACTATTTAGTTAAAAAGGCTACGTCACAGGCTATTAAAAAAAGTCTTTTGAACCTATCAGATCAGTCTATTTAAATAAATCTGAATAATTTATTATTATTATTATTATTATTATTATTATTATTATTATTATTATTATTATTATTATTATTATTATTATTATTATTATTATTATTATTATTATTATTATTATATTGTATTTGTATTTTGAATTAAAATATAAAAATAAAGCTTAGTTATCTTAAAAAACTTTTATGTAAATAAATTTAAAAGAAATTATGAACAATGTCATAGGATGTTTTCATAAGTTATTTCAAACATATAGTTATCACAAAATTTATGTTAATATATAAACTTTAATAAGTCAATGCAAATAAACCGTTAATCTCATTAATTTTTTAATGTATTAGTCTATTTAAACATTAATTCAATTGCTTATATACAAATTTTCAAATAAAATATGTTTTTACATAGACTAATAGACCAATCAGTCTTTGAAAATGCCAGACTCAGATCTAAAAATAAGTCTACGATAGGCCATAGATCAGACTTAAGTTTTGAAATTTTTATCCAATTTGACGCAGACTTGACAAAACCTAACTCGGCTCAACTTATTCTCACTCCTAATTACAAACCTTTTATAGTGTAGTGTGGGTTTGCAAAATTTATGGTAAAGTAATTACAAAAATAGAAATTATTTTGCTTCGAAGAATTTGTTGTTGAGAATAATAAGTGTGAATAGTGTTGGGAAGTTTCACAATGATTAGAAATATAAATACTTAAATATTATATTTATAAGTGAGAGAATCTACAAACCTATCATCTTAAAGATTTGAATGAATATGTGATGTGTCTATCACAAAAGTGCGTTGCTATTAAAAAAAACTCCAAAGTATAAAACACTTTTTTCATGTTAAACCCCCAAAGTATACCCCAACAATTGTTACTTTGAAGATGTTTGATATGTTGTTAATGCATTATAGATTTCATTGACAGATTTGATGTCTCATTTTATTTTGAATGTTTGTAAGTGTTGGTGTAAAAAAATACATGTATAGCATCGACCAATTTGATATTTCAGTGTTTGAGTTGACTCTAGTTTGATTGACCTGATCATCAAAGTGATATATACAGAAGTGCATGATCTCAAAATTAGATTTACTGAAAATAAACAAACATCCAAATATTGCATGTAATTTGTTCATAACTCACAACTTGGTAATTGACAGTGCAGAAAATGCAATTCCATTTGTAAAGCGATGTGTCAAGAACTCTTTCAAAGACGTGTCTCTATATATTGGTGGATTTTCTTTAGATAACAGTTCCTTAATTGGACCAATCACTTTAGGCATTCCCTCAGTTTCATGTGCTCTAAAAAGGGACGCAATTGAAATTCTTGGGCCTACATGTTTTGCTAAAACTCTATGCTGAACACTTCTGAACTTGTCATTACTCACAAGCTGTAGAAAGAAAAAGTGAAATTAATCATACTCAATATTCAATTCTTATTTGACATGTATGATGTATGATGTATATTACCTTAGATAAATTTAGACAATATTATCCGGAAAAAGAAAAAAACTAACCTTTAGAAGATCCCCAATGTTGACTATAAGAGCTCCATGAATGGGAGTTACATCAAGCCAATGGTTGTCATGAAGAACTTGTAAGCCACCAACATGATCTTGCAAAAGTATTGTCATAAAGCTACTATCTGTGTGCTTGGTAGTGCCTATGGTTAACTCTGGCTCAGGACATGGTGGATAATAGTGACATACAAGAAAAAACTTTTCAGCACCACCCATTTCTTTAAGGTGTAAACGGTTAAGGCCAAGAGCTTCTGACAATATCTCAAACAAACAAGAACCAAGTGCCGTTACTTCTTTCGCGTATTCAGTCACAATATCACTGCAAACCTGTGGCAATTCTTCAGCTTTAGGAGGATGAGGTTTCAAGAAAATTGCAAGTGAGTCCCTCCAATCAGCAGATTGGTCTTGGTAAAGAGTAAAATTTGATAGATAAACAACTTTTTCGGTCAGATCACGAGTGTAATATTCTTTCCTCACGTTGGCATCTTGTTGGTGAAATCTACAAGTTCCTTTGATCATCTCATCCAAAACATGAACTGGAATTCCATGGTTTATTACCTGGAAGAATCCCCATTTCTCAGAAGCATTTTGAACTTTTCTAACAACTTCATCTCTCAAAAAAGGATCATCATGGATACCTGTTAAGTCAATTGTAGGGATGCTGAGATTTGGATTTGATTCATTGATTGAAACATCATTGAGAGTAGACTGTTTACAATGGAACATACGTGGGACTTTTGTTACTCCCTTTTCTATAAGTCCTTGTACACCAGTTTTTGAATCATCAAATATTTTGAGTTCACTTTTTCTGTCATAGATCGGAGAATTTTCTGCTAAATCACTTGTGACTGTGTCCATCATAATATTTTTGCAATGAAAGAAACTTTGAAAGATTCAAAACCAATGGATTGAAGGGGAGTAGTTGGAAGGAAGTGGTATCATTTTTCCTAGGATGCTTTGCATAAAAGGACAAATAAATTATTGGCATAATTTCTTGAATTTAATAAAGCAACTAGATAAGAAGCATTGCATGTCTAAACTTTGGATTGCTAAGGTTGGGGCCAAAACGTAACTTTAAAAAAATATAAGCTATATGTAAATTTTAGAAAACTTAATTTTTTAGTTTTTGTTACAAAACTTATTTATTTTAGTTAATATTAAAAATTCCATAAATTTTGTATTGATAAAATAATTCATAAATTTGATTTTTATTTTTAAAGTTCTTCAATTTCATTATCCAAACAATAGAATTTGTATTAACAATTTTAATTTACAATATAAAGTTACATTATCTCAAATGGACTAAGGATATGTGTGAATTAATGATATGAAATGAAATTGAATTGGAAAGGAATGATACAAACCTATATCTCATTGTTTGAATTAATAAAAAACGATTGAATGGAGTGAAACCTGATGAAAATGAAATGCATTTCATTTCATTATTGTAAATCTTATGATTTGGCGGAAGATAAAATTGCTCTGTTACGTTGTGAAATGTTGAACAATAAAATCACGTCTTTATTTCATTCACCCCACTCTATTTATTTTCTAATATCCAAACAAATTTTAAGAGTGTGCTTGAATAATAAAAAAAATCGACGATTAAGAATGTCTTATTGCATTAATGTAACAAATTAGTGGCCGTAGATAATCATATTTCTTCTAAATATAGATGATGCACTTACTAAATTACTACACAATGAAAATCTATGTGTAAAGCTAAGAAGATTTTAAAGTTACATCATCTGGAAGTTGCGTTGATATTTAAAGTTAAAACTCGAGCTTTTTTTGTTCTACATGAAATGAAAAATGAAAGAAAGAGAGAATTGAGAAGCTCAATGTAATAATTGCATTCAAATAGGCTTGATAATTAGACAATCAATTATTTACGTCATTTATATAAATTTCATAGTCTATTGATAGATTACTTGTTATAAATTTGCAGCTTGATTAGCCTCTTGACTTCAATTTTCAACTCCTTTAGAATTTACTTCATCCATATGACTTGATACGTAGTATATGATCCTGCTATGTATTCTGACTCACTTGATGAAAGAGATATGATTCGTTGTTTCCTTAAGCACTAAGAAATTGGTGAATCAAGAAACTTAAAATTGTATCATGTGGTGCTTTTTTTATTCAATTCATCACCACATCAGTCTACATCTTAGTAGCAAATAATCTCTGTATCAAAGTTCTTTGAAAATGTTGGAAATAGAATTCAATAGTCTATTATGCCCCTCAAATACCTCAATAATCTTCTAGTTATAGTCATATGAGTTATCCTTAGATCATCCATAAACATGCTCACCAAACCAAGAATAAAACAACTGGTTGGTCTGCTATTTCATAGATACCTTAGAGAACAAACAATCTTTTTGAAAAGTGGAGTCCATATTTTCTTCCTTGTTTCTTTTATCTAGCTTGAAATTTGATTAAATAGGTGTTGTTGCATGGGTACATTATTCCATCCTAAACCTTTTGATTATTTCACCAACCAACTTTCTCTAGTGTGCCATCAAACCTCTTGAGCTATTGAGAATTTATACTCCTAAAAAATAGAATGGCATGCTTAGATCAGTCATCTCAAATTTTGACATCATGAGTTCCTTGAATCTCTTGATCACAAATTTGTTGCTTACAGTCACAAGTAAGTCATCAACATCCAAGCATATCATAAGTATGCTTGACATTTTTTCCTGAAGTTGGATTGCACAAGAAATCCATACATTCTCTTGTTCTAGGCTCTAGGTACTTATTTCATACCATAAAGTGTCTTGTTCAGCCTATACACCATGTATTCTTTTTCTTTGATTTCAAATCCTAGTGGTTGAGTAACAAAGATCAGTTTCTTAGTTGGCTCGTTTAATAATGCTGACTTGACATCTAGACAGAATGTAGATCATTCCTTTGCATTTTATATGGCTATCACAAGCCTAATTGTCTCAGTTCGGGCTATAAGAGCATAAGCTGCTTAATAGTATAGACCTTGTCTCTATAGATCGAAATTCTTATCAGGTCGAAATTATATTAGCTCTCATGTCTCATTCCTTTCAATTGGAACTAGTTATTCTTTCATATTCTTTTTCATGCCATGTTCATTAAGGATTCATGATGATTGATGGTTTCATCATCACCATCAACTCCATATGAATTAAATCACCTTCTTCAGTCACCTCGTTGTCATTATTCAGTTAACATTCTTTTAGCCTTCTTAGAACGTTCTTTGTTCTTCGTAGACTCTCATTCACCTCAATATTGGGTGCTTTCACTGAAGGTGAGAAAAATACACAAGAAAGGAGATTGAATTATGTTTTTTCATTTTCTTAGTTTGCATCTGATCAAAGTTCAGAAACTAAACTGGTGTTCAGATTTTGATTAACTCTTAGCAACAGAATGTTAACAGAAGCAAATAAATAATAACAAAAGACACAAAGATTTATATTAGTTCCTCTCAAACTGAGATTAGTCTATTCCCCTTGCTTCACAAGAGATTTTCACTATAATCAAATCATGGTTATAATTGCTTACGCATTATGCATAAGACTTTTATATTTGCTCAAACCCAAGGTCCAAGACTTCTGCTCAAGCTCCTCACTCGAGACTTCTTGTTTATGTTCCACAAACCCAAGACTTTTTTTCTTAGGCCTTCAGCCCAAGACTTCTGCTCAAGTCCCTCGGACCCAAGACTTCTTCTCCAAGTCACTCTAATTAAGCCTTCTGCTCCAAGTTCCACGAAATGAGCCTCATTGTTTGAACTCATCAGATTCAAGACTTACTGCTTTAGTTTCATGTACTGAGCTAACCTGCTCAAGCCACATTGACTGAGACTTTTGCTCCAGGTCCCATGAAACAATCCTTCTTGATTAAACCCCTCAGATTCAAGACTTACTGCTCCAGTTTCAGTACCGAGCCAACCTACTTAAACCACACTGGCTCAAGACTTCTGCTCAATCAATCCACTTGATTAAGTCTTTCATAGCTCAAGCACATAACAAGAGACTTACGTGACTCGAGACTTCCTTTCTTGTATCCCAATGATACAAGACTTCTGCTCAATCAACCTAGTTGATAAAGACTTTCACAACTCAAACACATAGCAAAAGACTTATGTGGCTCAAGCATCTTGGCTTGAGACTTTGATCAAAACTGCTAAACAAATTCAGCAAAATAGAGAACAAGGTGTACTTGATAAAGTATCATAAGTATGGAAAATCACCATAACAAAGACCTAAAGCACTTAAGATTTCTAAGATATTCAGTGTGTAAGAAATCTTAAGGCTTTTACAATTACAACCTACAACAGAAAATCTGCATATACGATTGTGTTCATAATTGATGATCTTGTTACTCCTTCTTCTAGATAATCCTTGTTAAAGATTCAGTTTGAACTTTCAGCTATATTTATAGCCTTTTCAGAAGCTAGTCGTTGAAGAGGTAACTTGATCAAGAGTCTTTACTTTTGCTCCATAGTACAAGAGACGTTGAAGATAGATACACCAAAAAATCTTAATTCAATGTGTAACATGTTTAACATTTGAGTCTTCAAGAGATCATGTACTATTAGAGTCATTGAGAGTAGATATCCATAAAGCATCTCATTCTTTCTTGAGCCTTGCAATCTGTAGACTCTAGTTGATAAACTGATTTGACAATACAACTTGCTTTCTGTTGTACGAATAGCTTCAGCTTTATCACTAAATCTGAATGGTACAAAAAGTCAATTTGCATTCACAAAGTGTATAGGCAATTATGTTGCTTCTGATGCTGAGACCTCCAGCTTCAGAGTTTATGTCAGACATCACTTAGTAAGTGTTCTTCAAATTCTGCCACAAGAAGTTAGTCATTCAGCAACTTTCATGTGTGCTAATGTAAAATAGATTCTGACTATAATATTTACAAGTATTAGAACCTGTACACATGTAACACACATCAAATAAACTATTGTTCTTTCAATACTTTGTTATCATCAAAACTCAAGAAAAATATGTCATGAACAAATTTTGTTCTAACAATCTCCCCCTATTTTATGATGACAAACACAAGTATTTAAAGAACAATGTTGGACAATTATAATTTTCCCTGCAACATCCGGGCATGAGGTTTGTAATCTCCCCATGATTCTAATAGTCCAAATTTGAGTTTTATAGACTCATACCAAGTATTACTTTCAAGAAAAAGTAATTTTGTTTTCTTAGTAACATCAGAGTTTAAGGTTTGTGAGCTCCCCTTGAGTCAAACAGTTCCAAGGTTGAGATTTGTAAGCTCCCCCTTAGTTTCATATTTAAGAAAATCAAAAATAATATTTTGACTTCCTTTAGCAACATCAGAATATGAGGTTTGTAAGTTTCTTCTGAGTCTGATAGGTTAAGGCTGAGGTTTGTAAGCTCCTCCTTACATAATGAATTTCGAAATATCATTGATAACTCTCGAGTAAGTAAAATGTCGGAAGAAAATCAGTGAGATCAACCAAGACGAAGAAAATTCAAAATATCACTAGAGTTTTATTGTAGAATATTAGGAAAAAAAATTTTATTATTATTATTTTAGATTAATATAACTAAATTCAAAATTACAATGATATTATTTCACGTATTTCGTTAAATTTAATTATGAATTTATATATAAATTTAATATACTTTAATGTTATCTTCAATTTTATATATATATATACATATATATATATATATATATATATATATATATATATATATATATATATATATATATATATATATATATATATATATATATATATATATATTAAAAATATTTTGCATGTCTCTATTAATGTATTTATTTTTATTAAATAAAATAATAATTTAATAATATAATATAATAAAATAATGAAACCACTAATTTCTTAATTAAAAATGTTTTTTTATACCATTTTATATTCATCAACTATTACAGTGTAATAGCAGTTATCATTCATCAACTATCAGCCAACAATTACTAATTATCGGCTAATTTTATCAAATAACCTAAATGTCAAAATCATGTTTGACTTTATTGTTCAATCAATTTATTAATTTATTTAAACATATATCATATTATTTATTGAAATACGTTCTTATGAAATAAATATTTCAAAAAATTAAAATTTTATATCAAAATTTCAAGTGTGTTAGATTTAAGTTTAAAAATGAACTAATGACCAACTCCAGATTAAATTTAAGTCTTGATTTAACATAATATATGAAATTATTTATTTCCTCCGTCCTACAATAAGTTATCTAATTGACTTTTTCACACAAATTAAAAAAAAAAACTGAATAAACAAAAGAAAAAAATGATATTTTTACGAAAATACTCTTATCATATAGTGAAAATGATTAAAAAAATTATTAATTAAAGAGTAAAATTAAAGAAAAAAAATACATTAAAAATTAAAATGAATCATTTATTTTAAGACATTCCTTTATTTCAGAAGAGACGTAGTGTAGGACAAATAGATTATTGAACTTACTGATTGAATGAAGATACTCACCGGTAGAAGATCCACAATGATGACAACTAGAGCTCCACTGATTATAAGAACTTGTAAGCCATCCACAATGATGACTACTAGAGCTCCACTGATTATCATGAAGAACTTGTAAGCCGCCGCCAATATGATCTTGCAAAAGTATTGGTTACATCAATCCCCAATGTAATAAAGCTAGCATCTGAGGGTTAACTCTGGCTCAGGCATGCATGGTGGATAATAATGACAGATGAAAAAACTTTCACCACCGCCTATTTCATTAAAGTGAAAGAGATTAAGGGCAACAGCCTCTAATAGTAACTCATACAATAAACTTTTCTCACAACTTCATCTCTCAAAACAGGATCATCATGGATTCCTGTTAAGTTAATTGCAGGGATATTGAGATTTGAATTAGAATCACTAATTGAAACATCATTGAGAATAGATTGTTTACAATGGAGCTGTTGTTACTCTATTTTCTGAGTCCTTGGACACCAACCTTTAACTCATCAAATTCTTTAAGTTCACTTTTCTGTCATAAATTGAAGAATTTCCCACTAAATCACCATCTGTAGTTGTGGCCATCATAATATTTTGAGGTTATTATTTATATGTGCATTAATTTTGTATGAAATAAAGGTTGATGGATTCATAATAAAGGTTGAAGAGGTGTAGTTTGGAAGAAAATGAAATCAATGTTTCCTAGGAAGCTCTTCATAAAAAGACAGCTAAATTATTGTCATAACTTGGATTTAGTAAAGTAACTAGATAAGAAGCATTTCTTGTCTGCCCTTATTATCTGAAGTCAAGGGTCTTATAATTACAAGTACAGTATAACTTAAATCACATAGATTTAGCTCATTTAACCAACAATCATCACACACACACTTCTAGTTGTTTCCATTTTATTCCAGCACACAGATACTACATTCACAAACAAAAACAAACATAAGTTCACATGCCATATTGCCCTCATATCACAACAATATGCACCTACAATTCATCACACGTAATGCAACATTGCTATTACACCTGCTAATTATTCACCAACTAACTTAAGCAATAGCAAGATAGAAAATGTCATCAAGCCTGTCATTACTAGGAGAGTTGCCACCATATACCAATAGTCCTTTTTGACCGCCACGGCAAGCACTGGCGAATGCGCACCATCCACGCGGCCCAGGATGGCCACCGGATTCCACCTTATCTTCCAGCCTCGTCCATGATAATGTCTCAGTGTCTAATGCATAAACCTCGCCAGAAAATTGACCAGCACCCATATGACCTTGGTCACTAGGGTCTATTTCCCCACCATATACAATTATGTGTTTCCCAGTCAAACAAGTCGAAAACACACTACGGGGAGTCGGTTTGAGCCCACCTGTTTCCACTTGGGCCCATGTTTTATGAGCCAGATCAAAGCAATGCACGTCATCGACTTCCATTCCTGCAAAACCATAAACAACCCATATTTTTCCTTGGGAAACTGTTAGGCCCGGCCCACCTCTTCCCTTGCAATTTTCACCGGGAGATGGAAATTCCACCCACTTGCCATCAACAACATCAAATGCCCATAAATCATTGAGCCTTCCAGCGACCCCACATCCGCCAAAAACATACACATGTCGGTCATCGGCTGTCATGGAATGGTAACTCCGGTGAGGAGGCCCAATATCTCCACTTGAAATCAAGGCCCAAGTGTTGGTCTTAGTATCAAAAGAATAGAGTTCATTGAGTTCCTTGTGTTCAACATCTCTTCCACCAAATACATAGATGGTTTCTCCAACTGCAGCCATTGTGACACCAACACGTGGCGGCGGGGTGCTGCCGGATGCATTGGCTACTGACCATGTCAAGGTATCTAGGTCGTACACGTGTAACTTGTTATCAACAGGGACACGTGGCACAAACTCACCCCCAAACGCATAGACCTTTTGCCCTACTACAGCAATAGCATGAGAACTTCTTGCTCCCTGTGTGATTCCTCTTTGATCAAGCTGACATAATAATTGAAAAAGTCTGAATAAATTTTACATGAATCTTATTAATTTTTAACATACCATAAAAATAAGTATACCAATTTTTCAGAGTCATAAACATCATCTGTAGGGACTAAGAAATTTTAAGAATATTATCTAGTACATTAAACTATTCAAGAGTACCGTTAGTGGTCAAAGATGATACAGATATTTTACAACTTAATCAAAGGACTCTAAAATAAGTTTGAATTTTAAACTTTTCAAGACAATCGAAACTAAGAAACCAAGTTTTTTCATGACAATCTAATTACTTAAAAAATGTCAAAGCTAATTTCCCTAACTAATAAAATGCCCCAAGAAAAATACATGCACAGGAGGGATGGCTGAAGAGAACCACATCCCTTGTGATGTTGCAGGGTGTGTACTAGTCGCGGGAACTGTTAAATCAAGAGAGACAAATCCTTTGTTTTTTGTTAGAGAGAAATTGAAGTCATAAACTTGATTTTGACCTGAAATTTTTATGCTATTGAAAACCTCAGTAGTCTATCACTATCAAAAAGGACCCTAAACCAAAAATAAACCCCGACTTTTCATTGCAATAGCTTTAAACAAAAATTACTTCACAAATATTGTATATCTTAGGTTAAATCACATGATTCAAATAAGCTAAACCGAACACAACAAAACATCTATCAATTGGTAGTATAACTAAAGTGAAATTCAACAGTGATAGTGAAATGGAAAATTTTCAAAAAAGATATACAAGATTTTTGAAGTAATAGTATAAAATAGAGTTGAATATCTGAAATGAAAGGATGAAAAAAGACCTTGATCCAATTGCCATGAAGTAGCGCCATTGTTGGAATCCAATCGCTGTGTGTGGTTCAATGTGTTGTTGTGTATATGTACAACACGGTAATAAGTTACCCAAATATATATATATATATATATATATATATATATATATATATATATATATATATATATATATATATATATATATATATATATATATATATATATATATAATCGTACGTAGTTGATTGATTAGTTTAATCAATGTTTGTTGCACTAGAAACGCACTCTAACGTACGAAAGCGATGGAGCTTTTTTTAACAAAGAAGAAAAAGGAAAGAGATAAACAACAAATGGTAGTGGTGTTGGTGACGTGCGATTTCTGTCCTTTTGTAATGAGTTATTTATTATTAAATGGAGATACAATATTAATACTTTTATATATCCATATATGAAAGTTAAACGGTGTATTCAACTAGAGTTTTGAGGAAAAAAAATTTTTTAAAAATAATAAAAAGTTTTTTTTGTCAATGAAAAAAATATTTTTTTTAAAAATTAAATACTTCAATAACCAAAATTTCAAATTATTAATTAAAACATTCATGTTTAAAAAAAATTTGTATTTAATATAACGTTTTACTAATATGTATTTAAAATTGGTAATAATGTCATGCTTTTTATCACATACAATACTCATGCGTCATTCTCTCTGATGCATGTGTTGTAAGCTTAAGAGTACGCGTCACTCCGCTGAAGTCTTAGTGTATTGTTTTTTATATAAATTAAAATTATAATTAATTAAAATTAAAAAATTGAAAAATAAAAAAAGATAAGTACTAATATTATTAAATTTTAAATAAAATTACAAAGCAGAAAATTTTATAAAATACTTTAACAACACGTTTGATCATAACGGCAACCGATTTCACAATTTGGTGATGCCCTTCACCTTTGAGGTTGTACACGATTTCCCTGAGGTGGTTGTTGTCTCACAAGATTCATCTGAGGTGTTTGGTGCGATGTCCTTGGATATTAGTGTTATCCATAAAATCTAGATAGAGGTTGTTACGACTGTAAAAAGTTCCAAACCTTCTATATGTCTTGCTCCTATGTCATTGCGGCATGTTCAAATGTTGGTCAGGACCCTTCCAAACATCTATCCTCCATTTACAAGTCATAAATGTATTCAATGCGTACAATAGCTTCTCAGTGGTAGCTAAGGAGGAATATTGGTGTACATATCAAGGGGATTGTTTGGCATAACAAAAATATGTGAAGGAAGAAAAGGGGTCTTCTCAACAACACGTGTATTAGAACATAAATGGATACAGATGATAAAATGGTAAGATTATGTGGTACATGTCGTCAATCCGGACACAATTGAAAGAATTGTCACAATGTTGGAGCAAGCTCCACAACATTATTATTGTATGCATTTTTTATATGTAATTTATTTTTTGTAACTATCATATTTCACATTGAATACAACATTATGTTACAACAAAATGAAAAGCAAGCACAATGGAATACAACAACACGAAGAACAAAAAAATGATTTAACATTATAACATATCTAAGAGATTACAACCATAAAAATAATATCATATGATCCAAACATCATATTACGAACATCACTGTCAATTTTAACTGACTCTCAAAATTGGGTCGGTTTGCTATTTTCATTTGCATTGTTGAACATCGAAGCAAGTCTATTAATTCTTCTAATTTTCACCCTTTGAATTTCTTTATCTAACCAATGGATCAAACTCTTTGTCAGATGCTCGGAAGTCAAAGTGTTCTAAAGTCGAATATTCATCGGAGGCTTGAGAATCGAAAAAACAATATGAGCATCTCTTTTATAATCATGTTAGAAATTTAAAAGATGAAATGAGAAGATGTATGAAAAATGGTGGAGAATGAAGACCTATTTATAAATAAAAAAACCAATGCAATATGGCGCTAGGGGTACTAGCGCCTCCTCTTAGGCCCCCAAAGCATGTGTCACTCCCATTTACACGATGGTAGTGCATATGTCATAGGGTATGGTGTCAGAGTGAAAATTTGAGTGTATGCGTCAGTAGCATTGATGTATCTTCTTTGATACAGTTTTTTGTTTGAAACATGGGTATTTTGGTGAGTAATGTGGAATGTTGGTTATTTGGGTATTTGAATTGAAAAGGTTGGTTATTTGAAAAAAAAAATCAAATAAAAAAGTTCAATTATAAAAAAAATAGCTTTCAATTCACTTATTAAAGAAAAAATGATTTCAATTCAGATGTCATGCAATCTCAAATATAATTGAGTCACGGTTTTGCGGATAATATTGATTATTCCAACATCCTTCATGTTAAGTTGTGTTAAATATGTAATTCTTTATGTCAAGCATAATTGTAAGTTTGACAGAGTTGAAGTAGTGTGCGTTCGATAGGGTCGAGTAGAGTCTATATTAACTATACTCGAGAGAAATTTGAATACAACTTATTGAAGTTTATGTTAGTTACTTTGAGAATTACTTGGTGAGAAAGTAATCTCATTATAAATAGGGAAGTTTCCTACTATTGTAATGTGTGAAATAAGATGAATTCACTAAGAATAAACACAGAGAAAAACTCTGCAGAATTTTATCCATCTCCTTTCCTATTCTCCCAAAACCATGATTTCTCTTTTTTCCAATTTACTTTCGTAGATTTATTTTATTCTCAAATCATTATGCACGAGAATCATCTTGAAAACAAGGAATGGTTGAATCACTGGAGTGAAGAGTGAGGAAAGAGATGAAGGATCAATCAATATTGATTCGAATTATCTCCAAGGTTGGGGGTAAATTCAAACATCTAGTATCTAGAGCACTAGTTGTGATTTTTGGGAATAATAGAACAATTACTTCTCATCAAGTGAAATCTATTTTCTATTATCAAGATATATCTAGTAATTCAATCATGTGAGAACTATGAGAATTGGTGTAAGCAGAATGAAAATTGTTTGTTGGGGTTATTTCCAGCAAATATTCCAATTTTGAATAGTAAGAATTATGAGAATTGGTGTAAGCAGATGAAAGTTGTATTTTGTTATCAAGATATTTGATATCTTGTGAAGAATGGAGTGACACCGATTGGAGAAGATTCTATGGATGAACAAAAGGTTGCACATAAAGATTTGAAGAAGTAATATTAGATAGGTCTCTTTATAAAGCATCAATGCGTTGATCCAAAAAACTTTGAAAAAGTTAGTCGTGTAGACTCAACAAAGGAATCATGAGACATCCTGGAGAAATCGTTTGGAGGTGATGATTAGGTGAAAGAGGTGAGAATACAAACTTACAAAAGAATGTATGAATTTCTGCAGATGGAAGAAAGTGAAAGCATCGCTGATTTTTTCACTAGGGTAACAAAAATGGTTAATCAAATCAATATGTATGGAGAATTGTTAACATCAAGTAGTTAGAAAGATCTTGACATCACCGACTCAAAAATTTGATCATTTGGTAGTAGCCAGAGAAGAATCGAATGATTTTTCAAGCATGACAAAAGAAGAGCTACAAAGGAGGCTTGAATCTCATGAACAAACAATGGTTGAAATATTTGCAAGCATGTCAAAGTGCAACGTAGCTATGCAGGTGAAATTAGCAAAAGAAAAGAAAGAAAAAGGGATTTGGAACAATAACAAAGGAAGAGGAGGCTAAAATAATTTTATTTGTAGGGGAAACCAACGAGAAGGTAGTTCATCAAATCAGAGACAATCCTCAAACTAGAGCAATCACAAAGGTGGCATTGCGGGTAGAGGAAACGACGATGGAAGAAAACTTGATAAAATCCATATTCAGTGTTACAACGGTCAAAAGTATGGACATTATACAAGTCATTATCGGGGAAGTGATAACACTGAAACACACTGCGTTTTTGGCTCAGATTGCACGTGTTTATTGTCATTGATTGTTATTTTCTTGCATTATGCTTGTGTTTTGTCTTGTTTTCATGTACATTGCCTAATAAGAGTCTTCCATACAAAAATGGAGCGAAAAGAGCAGAAAACAGAGTTTTGGGTGAAAATTACACACACACCGTTCCACATGGCATTGGCCATGGGGGTAGCCATGACGTGTAAGGTTTATCCCACGTTCTAACCGTCACTTGACCATGTCCACCACCTTTTGTACACATGGTGGACGCCATGTCTAGATGGTGGGCGCCATCTTTGTATTAGATGGCCCGGTCAAGGACGGTTGGAGCATGATGCCATGACTAGAGATATTTCCTCCACACGATTGTTGAAGGAGCTATGTAACTTCCAAGGCATTGTTACACTATAAATAGGACCTAGATCTTTAGTTTTAGGCATTCAGTCTTAGTTCTCAGCATAGGCATATATTCAGTTGTTAAAGAGATAAACCGTCACATCGAGGGATTATCACACTATTGTTGTAACTGAGGTTGGAGCATCGTAGCAGAGGAACTTTAAGCTTGCCATCATTTTACTTTCAAGTCAGATTTATTTTCCAGCATTGTACCAGATTCAAGTCTCCGATTTGGAGCAGGTTTTATTTTACTCACACTTTTATTATTTACTTTCCGCCTTGCTTTAATTTGTTTAATTTCCATACGATTTATTTATCGCTTTTTATTTTTCAGATTTGTTTCCAAGAGTGAACTTAAGAGTGCCACTTTGGTTCTTACCTTTGGAAACCGATCACGCATTTATTTTCTGTACAATTTATTTATCGCTTTTATGTCGAAGATTTGTTTTTCTAAGAGTGAACTCAAGCGTGACACTTTTGTTCTTCTGAAAACCAATCAAGCATTTATTTTCCGACGTGATTTACATATCGCTTTTATTTCCAAGATTCGTTTTCTGAATTAAACTTAAGAGTGACATTTTCGTTCCTTCGAAAAACCAATCACTCACTTTCATTCCCTGAATGATTTATTCTACAAACAAATTATTTATTATGTTTATCACAATCATATCTAGCTAAATCTGTTGTGCTGGGATGTGAGGACCGTCGTTTCGAAGGTACTCCATATGTTGTATTTGTAGAAACACTTTAGGGGATGTTTTGGATTTT